CAGTTTATCCCCCCGTCTCGAAACGGACACTTGGATTTGAAGAGGTAGAAAAAGCGCAGGAGAAGCTTTGGAGGATGAAAAAAACAGCGAGAAAAATCACCATCACTGGATATAAATAAAGTATTTGAAGAGACCTGCCCACATGGGGGACGAGGATTAGCGGCGTCTTTAGTGAAGCACGGATGTATTTTTAGACGGTCGATCGCCCCAACCGGTGGAGGAAAACCAGGTGAAAATTTGGGTCGGTTTGAGCATCATGGTAGGCGAGGGATGAAAGCTTTGAGTCGGGGGTTTCCGGGGCATGAGGAAAATTTAAGCAAAGTGGAGGTCTCAGAGGTACTAAAGAAACCCAATGCAGGTGGAGGTAACGCAAAAGCGAACTGCACCCCACCAGACTCAGAGACGTGCTTACCCCTGCCCAAAGGCCAGGGAAAAAGTCTTGGGGGGATGTACAGGGGAAAGGGAACAGTGAAACCCCACGAAACAAGTTTTTATCAAGGGTTTCCCAAAAAAGGGGAGAGGGATAAGGTGTAAAAGTATAATAAAAAAGTCATCCCTAAACCAAAAGGAAAATCCCATTAATTGACTTTTAAGGTTTTTGAAAATAAATTTAACGGTTTAGATCTGGGGGAAGCGAAAGGGGTTTTTTATGAATTTTGGGGGTCAGATGTGGATGTGGTATTTTCAAAACACAATTACGAATTGGATATGAGTTGGAATTAGATGGTTACGATGTGTATAGGGAATATGCACGAGGTTAAAAGGGGCGCCGCTTTTCTGGAAAAGGAAAATGCCCGTTTGTAGTACCCATAGTGAAAGGGGGGGAGGGGGAGTATTGGGGTGATGGTTTATGGGGTAGAGTACAAAAAGTTTTGTGGGTATATGGGCCGGCCCCGAGGGAGACCCACACTTAAAATCATTTTGTACAAGATGTATTAGTATATCATCTACAAAATTTACCAAATGTAGGAAAAAGGGGGGGAGATGAATTGTGTAATACACAAAAAAAGAGGTGGAGCCTCGAGGAGCGGGTTGTTGCTTGGGGTTCCGGGATTTTTATGACGATTTGGGGTTTTAAGGGATGTGGTGGGGGGGGGGGGGCAATGGGGAGCATACTTTCTTTTAAAAAGAGTTAGGGGCGAGTTTAGATAGAATTTACGTGTAAAAGTGGGGTTACAGTGGGGAAAGTGGGTTTGGTAAATGTGGTTTTTGGGGATCATAGGGGGAAGTTTTTAATGGAGTGATATTGAGGTGTGCCTAGAAGGGGTCCGTCATTTTGGAAATTAAATGTAAGTTATTGAAGAGAGAGGAAAAGCGTTTGTTTTTTGGGGATATGGGGGAAACCCCCTTGGGGTTGAAGACCTGGAGATGGGGGCTTTGGTTAATTGGGGGAATTGAAGCCAAAAAGCAAATTAAGGAATTTTATATTATCAGGAGGAGATATAATCTTTTTACGATGGTTTCCAACATTTTGGGGGGCATTGCGCGCTGCTGTGTACAAGGGAAATTTGAAAATTATCCTGTTACAGAAATTAAAACGAATTAAGGAGCAACTAGAAATTTAAAAAAACAAAAGGTTTTTGAGGGGGAAAAGGTTTTAAGGGTGGAACGAAAGGTTTTGTGGGGAGTTGGGGTCGGCGTGTGGTTGAGGAATCAACACAGCTCGCAAAGCAAGGGATTTTTATGGGGTTGAATGCCCAGGTGGTTTCGGGGGTAAGAGTGAATCAGGTGTTGACGACGACGGAGGGTATGAGTGGGTATATTGAGTTTGTTTTAAATTAAAACGCAAATTTGGGGAATAAGTGAAATTGCTTTGCGTAAATCGGTGGGTTTGTGCGTTGTGAGTGGAGGAGCATGATGTTGATGTTGGGAGGGCCGATAACGGGGTGAGATTTGGGGAGGCTTTATCTGGGGGAAATTTGGGGTAAGGGGCCCCAGGAATAGATGGGTTCCCGCGACTTTTAATTAAAAATTGGAACGTTTAAGGGGGGTTTTTTGGGTCGTTTATTAAATATCATGAAGCGGAGGGGGTTTTAGGGGAACAACAAAGGTTTGGCTTGGTCGCCCAGTCCTAAGGGGGAGCCATTAACGGTTAAAGATTATGGCAAAACTCGTTTTTTATGTGGGGACTATAAAATTTTTGGAAAGGACTTTGGGCCCCAGAATAAAAAAATCCTGGGCAAAAATGATTGACGGGACAATATGGGGGGCCGGGAGGTCTTTTTATGAAGGTCACGGTATGATTTAAATTTTATTGAAAAAGAGTAAGATTGGGAGTGGGGGGATGGTAAGATTGGGGAGGCGGCAATGAAGTGTGGAAGGGAGACGTTTTTGGAAGAATAAGAGATGGGAGGGGTTTGGGGCGGAAATTAATATGGGGCCCAAAATTAAAAGTTAAGAGGGATCTTTTGGGGTTTCAGGTGAAAGGGAGGGTTGGGGAGATCGGATTTGATGGGAAAGGGGTTTTGCGTCAAGGTTGTCCCCTTTCACAAATTTTTTTTGGTTTTTTTCAAGATCCCTTTTATAGAGGGATAAGGGGTTTTATGGAAGCAAATGGGGTGAGTAATTAAGGGTGGGGGGGCGGGGATTTTGGATTGCGACGACAACGATTTTTTTTGAGAGAAAACATGGATTTGATTCGGTAAAAAAGTTAGTGAAAGTTTTTGAAAAAGGGTACTGGCATGACGTTTTTAACATGAGGAAAACAAAGTATATGAATCTTGAAAAGGGCGCGTGAGGAAGGGAAAGGGAGCTGAAAAGGTGGGAAAGGGTGGGCCAAAAAAAAGAATGGGGATCGTTTATGTAAAAAAGATACAAGTCAGACAACAAATAAATTCCGTGCGTACGGTTTATAGGTTCTAAGCGTTTAGTGGGGTTTAGAGCGCTAATTTTAAATTTGCAACAAAGGGGATAACAACGAAGTGCTATTTATAGTAAACTATGGAATGTTTTTGGTAATATTTCCCCCATACTTCTTGTGAAAAAAAGGTTACAAAAAGGTTTTTTGATTCATTTGGGGAACAGGGGCGAATGGGAAAGTAGAGCGGTTTTCACATCCCGGTTGGCCGTGGAGGGCTGGGGGCTTATAGATGTCGAAAAGAGGATAATAATATGTATTTTTAAAAAATAGTTATAAGCGGGAGGGGGGGGCGAAAAAAACGGTCTTCATAGGGTACATCAGGATATGCACGGGGGTGGGGGGGTGGGAGTTCATGATAGGTGAGGCAATGTTACGGGTCCATAAACGTAGGGGTTACTCACAAATTAAAATGAAAATCTTTTATAGGCAGATGGGAAAGGGCCCGGGGAGCGGCGGGAAAGGGTTTTCCCCTGTAGTTGGCATAAAAATTTTTTTGGGGGGTTTTTAAAAAAAAATTGCGTTTAAAAAACCCAAAGTCAGAGAAGTTATTTTAGATTTTTAATGGAACTTTTCCGTCAGGAATGTTTATTCTAAAGAGAAATACGAGAGGAGGGGAATGCAGGGATTTTGGGGGGATTGGGAATTTTTTCATACGGGATATTTTTGCGATTGAAAAGAACTTATAAGGGTTTGGATGGGTAAGGTTTTTTGGTTTGTGGGGGGAGGGGTTTGCAGGGGTTTTTAGGTTTAAATTTAGTATAAGGGGGGGAATAAAAGGTTGAGAAAAACATTGGGGAATGATTTCGATTATTAAACATGTGTGGGCTATGAGGGGGGCGGGCGTGCGGCAAGAATTAAAGCATTTGGGGAGCAACTTTTTAAGGCACAGGTAGAAATAAAGGGGTGTATGGAGGAGATGGGAGAGGATTTTGTGGGGTTTTCGAAATTTCACATTAAGGATTTTTTGGGATTTGCAAAATGGTAAAGGGGTACGACGGCTATTTTCCAGACTTGGGGGTGACATGGAGAGCTGTTTATAGGTGTATAAGGTTTTGATATCTAGAGGGAGTAGGGTTATTCCCCCAGGTTTTCAAAAATCACAATTTCTGAGGAAAGGGGTTAGCACTACGATTTCATATTTTTTTTCATGATAAACATTTCAAAGGGCTTTTTGATGAAATTTTCTATGAGACCAAATATTCATGGAGTCTTTACTGTTTTTGATTCAAATTTTAAATGGTAAAAAAGTGTTTTTCCCAGCGTATACAATTTGGTTTTTTTTTTTTTATATTTTATGCTGGTTCGGTGTTTTTCATAATATTATATTACATGTAAATATTTTTGCATTATTTTTCTTTTTTTTTGCTGAGATTAAATAACACATCGTAGTTTTTTTTTTGTTAATTGGGGGGTTTTTATTGTGACTTTTTGTATTACCCTTGTTTCCCTTTTTTGAATGTAAATACCATGGTTAAGATTCGTGATAATCGCCAATATTTAAAGTTTTGATATCGTGGTGCTCTTTTAAGCACCTGAGATCTTAGAATTTGTCTTTTCATAGTGTTTGACAGGGAAAACCTCACCTAGTATGGCCTGAAGTCTCATTAGTGTAAAGTGTGGCTTGTGTGGTCTTGTGCGTGTTTTTTTTGTTTTTATCTCTGTTTTATTTTACAATCTTTATAATTTCCAGTGTTTGATGTTTTTTTAATATGTAACCTTTAGAGATGTTCTTTAACAAATAAAGCCAAAACCACTGTAATGTATAGTGTTTGTGAGTGTATTATCACTGTAATTACGGTGTGTTGTGTGTGAGGGAATAATCCAATGTAACATAACGGTGTGGTGTGTGTGAGTGTGTATTACCACGACTGTATGTGTCGTTATTAGGTCTCGGGGGTTAGGCGATTTTAGTGCATAATCTTTTGTCGTGTATCTTTTTTAAAATAATTCTGTCATTTGATCGCAAGTTTTAAAAAAATATAAAAAAAAAAAAAAAAAAAAAAAACACCTGTTTTTAAACCTTTTTTTTTTTGTTTTCCAGAAAAAAAGGGGTGGGATGGGGCCCGGGGGGCATCGCTGTGGCTTTCCCGATCCTTTGGGGGGGAGCCGAAGATATGGTAGTGGTGGAAAATTTGGATAGTGGTTTCAGTGGCGGTGGATTTGGTAGTGGTGGACTTGGTGGATTCGGTGGCAGTGGACTTGGTGGGGGTGGATTCGGCGGCAGTAGATACACTAGCGGATTCGGAACTGGTGGGTCCAAAGGTAGCGGATTCGGAAGTGGTGGCTTCGGTGGCAGTGGATTTGGAGGCGGACTCGGTAGCAGTGGATTTGGAGGCGGACTCGGTAGCGGTGGATTTGGAGGCGGACTCGGTAGCGGTGGATTTGGAGGCGGACTCAGTAGTGGTGGATTTGGAGGCGGACTCGGTAGTGGTGGATTTGGAGGTGGACTCGGTAGAGGTGGATTTGGAGGCGGACTCAGTAGTGGTGGATTTGGAGGCGGACTCGGTAGCGGTGGATTTGGAGGCGGACTCGGTAGCGGTGGATATGGTGGGTAAGTAAAGCTTGAGACCAGTTCCTAAGATATCATATACTGTATACACACAGTCTGAATAAATATCTAATGCGTCAAGTTTTGTCTGAAAAGTTATATAAATTAAATTAAATTAGACAATGAGCAATCCAGTATTAATTCCAGAATTTTATGAGACTCGTGTTCTGTCATAAATTCTCACAATACAGTTTATGCATTATACTGCCTCTTATATGTAAATTTACATTATTCTGATGAGTAGATATAGGTGTACACTTTGCCCCGGAAGCAGTTTATCCACAATCACTAACGTTTACAAAACGGGGGGGGTTCTTTCAGGGCTCGTCTTGGCGGTGGTGGTAGCTACGGCAAGTGGTGAGGCTGGAGAACGTCTGGGCGAACAAACCGAACGACATCTGAAAGTTGGAACCACCAAAACGACCTTCGTCCACTAACGCCACTCCTGATGGACACCTTGGAAGCATCTACATTAAGTCTTTTTTTGACCAATATTTATGTATAATAAATAAATAAATTGCCAAATAATGTGTTGTGCTTTGAACATTGAAATATTTTTTATTATCTAATGGGGCAATATAATTAGAACTAATATAAGACTGAATTATATTGAATGATAAAGTTCGCCGAGGTAAATAACATTTAAAAGTTGAATACAAAGACACATACAGTATGTACTTACTTATACGAAGTCGTTAGCCAATACAAAATGAATTTTCAGGAATTTCAACAATTATTCTATCACTATAATATACACTATACAAACGAGACCAATATTGGGTATGGAACACTAAATCCGGATATTTGGTGAAGAACAATGGATCGACGGAATTGTACCTACCCTATCAATCCTTAGATCAAACCTTGTTTCTTCCTATTTCCAGATTTTGTATGACTCCTATGGATTGAGGGGTTCCCCTGACTGCAATAATAATGTCTATCCGGGTAGTTCATGAAGTAAATGACTGAAATTATGTCATAATACACAAGAGAAAATTATTATTATTGTAATCAAAAAGAAGCGCTAAGCCACAAGGGTTATACAGCACAAGAGAAAAGAAGGTTCAGTGTGTAACGTGGTCAGAACTTACAAGATATATTGAGAAGAAGATGTAAATGTTATGATGTTGACATGCTGAAGAAGCCACTTGTAAGGACTGAAGAACCCATTAGTGATGAAACGGTTCCATTAATTAATGTCCTGAAGAACATATACATATATTATCATGATACAAGATGCTCAGATGTAGAGACAAGGTGGATTAAGGTTAGTGAAAAACTGAAACTAAAACACCGGAATAAGAATAAAAAAAATGAACTTTCTCAGCTTAAATGCAGTCTGTGAGCAAAATGAACTTGGGGCAGTAATAGTGAAAAACAACCTCCATAAATTCAAGTGTAGCACAACTTTCAATAGTGAATCGCTAAATTCTTATGAACCATAACAGCGCTTGGGAATCAGATGTAATCAAGTCTGATCCAAGGGAGGATAGTTTTAGCCCTTTGGATCAAGAACCTTTCGCCGGTATGAGGGCACTTCAATATGCATTAAAAAAATTAAAACACATAAGCATGTAGAAACCTATATTGGGATTTTTTTTTATATTTTATTTAAAAACATACAATACATAAAACTAAACAAAAGTATACAGAATCAGATCATCGACAGACAACAAAGTCATCATTGTCTAAACACTGCAATATACAGTAATGTGAAATATGTACACTCCATACAGCTGATAGGTGTATACTGCCATTATACATAATTCCATTACAACAAAATTAAATGTGCCAATAAGACAAAATACATAATCCTCTTACCCCTTCCCATCTGCAAATTCTAATATACACACAGTAAATTACATGCCACAAAAATGCAAGCAGTATAACTACCCCCCCCCCTATTTACCCCAGTTCACCAAATCGTACAACATTTCACCATTGTTTATTTAACTTATAAACTAACCATACTAATTTAAACCTAAGAATATATTATATAATGACAATAACAACTCTACAGTATTGAAAAAAACCGGCTGTTATCCTAACATTTTAAATGTTTTATCAAAAACATTTTACAATGTATACATAGTGTTATGCATAAGCTCACTGGCGCCAAGACATCAACAGTCCTAACAGGTAAAATACAATACCAAATACATAACAATACCACAATAAATACTCATGCCACCGACTATACATATCTAGCTGCAAATTTTGTCAAGGTTGAGAATCCAAGCTAGTATGTTACTAGGGAAAGGTCAACACAGTAGGTGGCCAGGTCTCACACACCTTTTATTACACAAAATAAAGTAGTGGACCGGGTTGTATTACCAGCATATAGGAAGATAGTTAAAAACACCTAATGAATGAATCTACCGAAAAGAAAGGTATTTCTTGTATAGTTAACATTCGTGTAAATGTTAATAAATTCAACTGATTTTATTTTTTACTTTTTAATGGTCATGCCTTTCATTTTTATTTATTAGATTTCCTTAATTTTATTTTATTTCTATTGTAATTCATTTCCAGGATTTTTTCTTTTTAATTCTCATATATTTCATTCTTGCGTATTTTGTTTACTCTTTTAATTTTATTTTTATTGTAAATCATTTTTACTTAATTTTATTTTATATTTAATGCTAATCATAAGTGAATTTTGCCGTATCTAATAGTTAATACTACAAGGACCCCATCGAATATGTAACTGATTTTTTTGTTATCCTAGGTAATTTACACACATTATTGTGTAAGACAGTCGTAATCACCCAAAGATTGTGAAAGTGGACCCGAATAAAGTTATTTACTCCGACAACTCCCTACTCCACCTCACCCTTCATCCTCCAGTAAGCGCTAATACCCCTTCACCGTACTCCTATACCCCACCAACTCTCCCACACTACTACAATGCACTTCTTCCATTCCTTTCCTACAACCTTACAGTGCAACTACCACACTTCTCAAAATAATTCACGCAAATTCGAACTCACTCCTAAACTCACTTTACGGTGCTACTTTGGTATGCGATTTACATAGCCAACGTGATCTACAGGAGTCAAATTAGGCTAGGTTAGGCTATTACTTTTGTTGTAGATCGCATACCAAACTAGCTTCATGACACGTAGATCGCATACCAAAGTAGCTTCATGACATGTAGATCGCATACCAAAGTAGTACCCACTTTACATAATTTACAGTCTTACAGTTCATTTCTACCCGCCATAAACTCTTACTCGCTTTTCCGAATCATTTCATTCCCCTACACGCTCTTTTAAGGAAATTCCACAGCTCAACACCTATCACCAGTACAACTTCGACATTCCTTCAATAATAACGCAAATCATTCCCACACCCATACAACTTTAAAAGAACCAACTATCTCCAACGCCCAACTCCTCATTCCCACATATCTCCAACCCTTTACCTCATTCTTTTTTCTACAACTCTAACTCATTTCAAAACCTTTACCACACAACTCTTAAGTTCCCCACACTCCTCTACCACTTAAAAAAAAGTCTTGCTCACTCGTACTCCTTGAGAAAGGCTCTCTTCCTCAGCATTAAGATTGTAAAAAAAAAAAAAAAAAAAAAAAAAAAAGATAAATTCTTAAGGCAGGGGAAATTTTTTTCTGTGACTGATTCCCAACTGTGCTAGTGTTGATGCTGATACTTGTTTTAGTGCTAGTACTAATGTTGATGCTTATACAAGTACTTGTCCCAGTAATGACACTGGTGCTAAGAGTGGCGCTAGTACTACACAAGTTCTATTTCCAGTGATGGCGTTAGTGCCAGTGTTTATGTTGGTACTTTTGTTCATAATAGTACCAGTGCTGATGCCAGAGCTGGTGCTTGTACTAGTAGGAGTTGATGCTTATACTAGTAGGTGTTGATGCTTGTACTAGTAGGTTGATGCTTGTAGTGGTAGATGTTGATGCTTGTACTAGTACGTGTTGGTGCTTGTATTAGTACATGTTGGTGCCAGTACTAGTACATGTTGGTGCCAGTACTAGTACGTGTTGGCGCTTGTACTAGCACCAGTATGGGTGCTTGTATTAATTAGTACCAGCGTTATTCCACCATTTTTCATTGGTATATCTGCATCTTTGCACTCGGGTAGGCGCGTGACGTGTAGGACGTACTGTGCAACCAGAAGAATGTGCTATTTTCACTCTTTCAAAACAGCAATTTGCACAAAAAATACTAATTCAAAATGGACCACTCAAAACAATATGAAGTTAAATGAAGAGAAATTTCAACTACTCAGATATGGAAAACTTGAGGAAATTAAAAATGTATCAGGGTATAAAACAAATTCTAACCATACAATAGAGCGAAAAAGTAATGCGAAGGATCTGAGAGTGATAATGTCAGAGGATCTCACTTTCAAAGACCACAACAACGTATCTACCGTATCTGCTAGGAAAATGATAGGATGGATAATGAGAACCTTCAAAACTAGGTTGACGCCAAGCCCATTATGATTCTCTTCAAATCACTTGTTTTCTCTAGGCTGGAATACTGCTGTACACTAACTGCCCCCGTCAAGGCAGGCGAAATTGCTGACTTTGAGAGTGTACAAAGAACTTTCACGGCACACATAAATACGACAAAACACCTAAATTACTGGGAACGGTTGAAGTCTCTTGATTTGTATTCCCTGGAATGCAGGAGAGAAAGATACATGATAATATACACTTGGAAAACCCTAGAGGGATTGATACCAAACTTGCTCACGAAAATTACTCCCTATGAAAGCAAAAGACTCTGCAGATAAAACATTTCCCCAATGAAAAGCAGGGGCGCCACGAGTACACAGACAACACAAGTGTCAGGGGCCCAATACTGTTCAACTGCCTCCCAGCATACATAATGGGGGATTACCAACAGACCCCTGGCTGTCTTCAAGAAGACGCTGGACAGGTACCTGAAGTCATTACCTAAACAGCCGGGTTGTGGTTCGTACGTCAGTTTGTATGTGGCCAGCAGTAAGAGCCTGACTGATCAGACCCTGATCCACCACGAGGCCTGGTCTCAGACCGGGCCGCGGGGAAGTTGGCTCCCGAAACCCTCTCCGGGTATACTTAGGTTACAGTAATAAAATCACAGAACGGGTGGGACTCCAACTTATGGCAAGTCCTAAATCTCACGGGACAATTTTAGTTTTATAATGTTCGCACTCATGCTATTCCTACAGGATGGGTATGGGGTAAATAAAGATATTAAGCTAACTAATCGTGTTATTACTATTTCGTGAGTCATGATAAGCTGTGTACTGTAAAATACAAATACCAGAGTTCTGCCGCGTAGTTGTCGATAACCAGAGCTCACCATTTTCCCGGATTTTTTTTTTCGAACATCCTGGAGGTGGGAAATAAATGCCTGCACTGTGGAGGAGTGAGGATGTTGCAGTTCCGAAGGTTTTCTGAGTTGTGATGTCAGAACGCTTCTGGCAAGACTGTGATGGAATGAATGTGATAGTGTTCCTTCGGGTTACCTTGCCGACGTGTTTAAAAAAATTCAAATCATAATTCTTCTCTTTTCACTGTCATTACCAGACTCATTTGTCTGAACCAGCCAATGATACTATCGATAACGTCGGTACCTACCACCCGACACTTGCACGTCATAAATTGTAGTTGCTATCACAGAGGTGTCAGAACCAGCCGTCGTGTCCCTTGTCTCGTATTCATTTCATAAAGGTACACTAAAAACAAGCTATATAAGGAAGGAACTTGCATAAAATAACAATACACATACCTGCCTGGTTCCCCAATGCATAAAAAGTATCAGCACTTATTTTAATATACTTCTACAGCCCAGTTGCCAAAATACAACAGAATTTGAAGAGCGAGTCGCACACAGTACAATCATGCAAGACCTCAAGAGCAACTCTGGTCACGCTGTTCCATGGATCTTCTCCCCCCCCCCAAGCAGACACATTTGCTATTTAAACTAGACCCAACATATACCATGAAATTTATATTTTCACACTCATTAACCATTACCCACCATTTTTAAATATATATTTTGCATGTAGTTTTTTATGCATAATATTTAATATAATGAAGCATCTAAATAGTTAACTAAGTTGTAAATATTAAATTTAATGTACGAGTAGCAAAATGCCTGAATATACAATAATTAAATACATTATTCCCATTAACATCATAAAAATATATTCCGTAATTAACAGAGGTCCCAGCGATTACATAAAGTAGCTTTCAAACTTGTCAGGATTCATATAAATTGCAAAATATTCTTGGAAACCTACTTCCCATCAAAATTCTCAGATTTTTTCAGTATCTACTAATTATCTTGTGTACACTTATTATTCACCTATCAAAGTGTTAGTCTTTATTATATTGCTAGCAAACCTACTACCAAATTAATATGCTGCCATGCAAGTTTATTTATAATGCTGAGGCATATTTTCAAAATTAATATCCTACTCCTATACTTTTTTTTTTTTATTTAACAAAGGGTGAGGGAGGAACCTATATACTCTTATTTATAAAACAAATATAATTCACAAAATATTAAGCAGAATGATAAACTAAAAATGAAGTATTATGATTTACTGGTATACGAAACTATTACTTTTTTTTGAGGAACATGACCTAAAAAGAAAAACCAAAGTTCTTTTATTTAAATTTAGTAATCCATACAGGAGACTCTTGTGGTATATAAATATACGGAGTTGGATGAATCTTATTGCAACCAGCTGGCCCAGTGGCTAACACCTCGGTCTGGAGTTTTACGACTCACTCGCCGAGAATTCAATTCCCATCCGTACCGTAGTTTGTTTCCCTTGCTCCCGGCATTTTAGTAGCCTCTTACGACAAGCATGGCTTACGGAGGGAGAATTTTTTTTCCACTTCCCCATGAAGATTATACATATATTACAGTGAGAGAGACAGAGACTGAGAGGAGAGACTTGGAGGAAAAAAAGAACAAAAAAAATTAATGGTAGGGAACTCCTAAGATGTTGGAGCAATCATTGTAAAATTCCCCTGCAAGCTGCTCTCACAGTCACGACCAGTTTCCTTGCCTTGTCCTGTACTGCTGTTAATAATTCCCAATACAATCAACAATCACTGTTTATATTATACTACTAATAATAATAAAATTAATTAAAAACTCCTCTAAAACAGATCTCTCTTTCCTTATTTAATAACGTGAGCTAAAGAACAAAATATATCGGCTGTGCTTCTTTCATGATAATAAAACAGCATCAGTTGGCAAGAGCAACGTTAAGGTTAGAGTGAGCAGGATATATAAGGTGAGGCTGGACCTGGTTAAGTATCACTTTCTCACTCACAACTGAACAGCAGCCACCATGATCTCTCTGAGAGCGCTGGTAAGTACTTACGAATTAATGGTGTGATGTTTTTATGTTTATTTAGGTACAGACACACATAAGTACAATTATTATACATAGTAACGTGTGTAAATAACCCAGGATAACCCAAAATAATATCAAAGTGACTTATTTCCATTGGGGTCCTTGTATTATCTTATTTTCTGAAGCCTATCAGTCATTATTTCTACTGTAACATAAGTGTGAAAATCATTTACAGTAAAAGGAGATAAAATAGGAATAAAGTGAACCGAGTTATTTACATGAACATTAAAAAAGGGATCAGCTTACATTATTATTATTATAATCAAAGGGGAAGCGCTAAACCCGGAGGATTATACAGCGCCTGGGGGGGGATGTGGAAGGCATTCAGGCTTAATTCGGGGAACTGGAGCACAGATCCAATTCCCTAAATCAAGAGCCCCTCACCAACATCAAAGAACCTTCCTTGAGGGGATCAGCTTACAGTAATTGGACGAATGTTAACTATATAAGAAGCCACTCCCTTCCCTTTCTGTAGCTTCATTCATCAGAAACCTTTTAGCTCTTCCTGAACTGGCTCATGCTAGGATAGGCTTTGAAATGTGCAGGCAGTCAGTTCCACTCTTATACTCCTGTATAACAGAAGTTGTTTGAGACCTGAGTATCTACTGTAAGAGCTAGAAAAATAGTGTTCATTTTTCCTTGTACCATACTGGTTTTGGTTCGTAACCTAGACAAACTTGGCAGAAAGATATTCTGGACACTGCTTCGTGAGCAATTTTATTAACAAATAACTTCAGCTAATCCAGTTGTAATTTTCCTGGCCTACATGCTCTCTTGGACCCAGACCCAAGATGCGTCTCACCATTTTCGTCTGGGTGATTTGTCTTATTTTTTTCGTTAAAGCCGAGTACCATGAAGAACAAGAATAATCTGCATGACATTGTATGAGAGCTAGACAGTCCCGCGAGCCTCAGTGCCTAGACACTGTGCCTCTATAGAGGGACTTCAGCCTAGATTTTTTTTTAATACAGATATTTCACAGAGGATACTAAAATGATGGATTCCCCATTACACTTGACATTAAAAGTAATTTATCCTTTTCAGTTTACTTTTCACTTGTTATTTCCGAGGTTTAACATAGTTTGTTGTTTGCTGTTGATGCCAGTGCTGCTGTTGGTATTAGTGTTGCTGTTTGTGTCACTACTGGCGCTGTTGTCGGTGCCACTATTGGTGCCAGTATTAGTGCTGTTGCTGGTATTAATGCTAGTAATATTATTAGCACTGGTGCTTTTATTAATCCTCTTACAAGTTTTAATGGACGTGAATCTCCATCAGTATAATTATTCCGAACAATTCACCTGCATTAATCCATGGACAAAAATTACATTTGTAGAAATCACACAACACTTGGGAATGGGAGGCAATTAAATTCGATCCAAGGTATGGGAGCGTAGATCATATTTCTTGTTTCAAGAACTCTTCACCAGCGTCAAGAACAGTCCTACAGCTTCACTTAAGCACATTGTTGTTAATACACGACTGATCATGAACATGGTAAAATTTGTAAGGTATAAGATATATACAGAACTCACTTTAACGCCATTTTAATGTTTGTGTGTTACTGAATAAAAGTTGGAAAATATAGGAAAATGCAACGCTCTCCATGTTGGAAATAATTATTATAAAGTTTACTTGGAGATCAGCTCTATTATTTTGTGTAATTTTGATTGAAAATTAGTATTTTCACATGACAGTTTAGTTTTGTACTACAGTTGTTTGTTCTTTTGCCTCTGCATTGTTTTTGATATGGTGTATTTTTAACTGTTAAGATTAGATTAAGAACTCGAGTATACTTTCCTGCTTTTTATCTAAAAAGAATTTTTTTAGAGCAAATTTACGAAGCTAGGAAGATGATATTGATAAACAATCAGAAAATACACCACTTGTTACTCTCACAGTATTAACAATTTTAGTTTTTGTTTCTCTTCCCAGATGATGCTGGTGGTGGTGATGGCTGTGGTGGGAATGGTCATAGCCTATCCAGATCCCTCTCCAGGATATCGCCGTAGATACGGAGGTGGATTTGGTGGCGGTGGACTTGGCGGATTCGGTGGCGGTGGACTTGGCGGATTCGGTGGCGGTGGACTTGGTGGTGGACTTGGCGGTGGATTTGGTGGCGGTGGATTTGGTGGCGGTGGATTCGGTGGTGGTGGATTTGGTGGTGGTAAATTCGGGTAAGCTAACGCGGGAGTGAGTCCAGTTATAACCGAAATATATATGTATGAAGGAAAAGTAAATCATTAATGATTTATGTGAATTTAATAAGATTGGTCATACACATACCATTACAGTTTTAGGATATACAGGAAAAGTTAAATTTAGAGTGAGGTAAATGGCCTGGGTGCTCAAGGGAGTGTGGCCACAGTGACTAATGTTTACACGATTGTATCTTCAGAGGTCGTGGCTACTATGGGTAGAGGGAGTTGGAGGAAGCACCGAATGGACACCTCGACGACACCTTCATGAGAACGACCTCAACGACGATCGTCGTTCACTGAAGCCACTACTATCCGTGGACAATGTTTAAACATTAACAGGCTTATTGCATTCAATAAATAACCAAATGAAAAAGTTTTTCGTTACTCTTTGAAATTATGATTATCAAGGTTATACTCACTAGGATTATAATTATAATCATGGGGGAGCTCTAAATCCATAGGATTATACAGCGCATGTGGGGGGGGGGGGATGGAACGCATTCAGGCTCAATTCAGGGAACTGGAGCACAGACCCAATTCCCTAGATCAAGAGCCCCTCACGAGCATCAAGGAACCTCCCTCGAGGGGTATATTCACTCGGAAACTAACCCTGTTGGGTTAGTTTCTGAGTGAATATACGGAATCTTAAGATTTATTTCTTGTATCAAAAGCCTCCCATTAGCATCAAGGCTTGAATAGTATCAAAATAGTAGCATACAATACTTTTAAAGTGCAAGACAAAGTGATCAGTAAAAAGTTAAATTTATTAAACCTTCCTTTAGACCAACAGTTGTGAATCTAATCTAATATTGTTCTTACTAGTCATGCTATTGTTGTGCGTATTAGTGTGATACGAGATTTTTGCGCCATTGATGCTAATGCAGCAAATTTGTTATAGTGGTAGCAGAGCCTACAACACTTTAGGGATGTGGTGATCTTACTGCTATGTACAAGGCTAATATCAGTACCATACTTTACTGACAGGAAGACATCTTCCACACAAGACTGGCAAACACCAACTGCACTGGCTGTATCTCGGGAATATGAGATGATTTATTCGTAGAATGACGATTTTCGTACATCATAATCACATTAATGAAATGTCAGTAGACCAAATGAAATCGTAAATAAGCAATACTTTAATACAAAATAGGAACACCTTATATGTTAAGTAAACTTGCAATAAAGTTGGTAGAATTACTGACAATATGTAAAATAAAAGGACACAAGTGCAAACTAATGTGACATTTTATTGTGGCAACGTTTCGCTCTCCAGGAGCTTTATCAAGCTAGAATCCTCCTGAAAACAGTAAACCCTGCCATCACATAGTCTCTCCTGTTATACTACACAAAACACATTACAGAGAGTGAACACTGAAACAGGCTGCCTCTTTCCAGTCTATATTTGTCCAACCTATTTTTATGTTGCCCAAGTAATAGCTTTTATATCCTTTTACTCATGTACGAATTAATTGCTCTACCATATTGTATTACTACTACTACAACACTTTTGTCACTGAACATCAAAATGGTATACAATACCGACAGGTTGTTAGGTACACTTTTGTCACTACTACTGCTACTATCACTAATATTGCACCCTCACTCTGAGCCTATATATACCCTCTGTGTCCATGTATTGTTTGTAATGGCTTGATAAAGCTCCTGGAGAGCGAAACGTTGCCACAATGAAATGTCACATTAGTTGCACTTGTGTCCTTTTACTTAAGTAAACTTGCAAACAATTTTTCAGGAATAAACTCACGGTATAAACCATAAAAAAATTCTTATTGTATGTTCATTTTGTTGAAATGGTATATGTATAATTAGAAACTTTTTCGAGACTTAAACTGAACTTAGGATACTTTATAATGCTGAAGTTTCAGTTCACGATTTATCCAGTTAATCTGCACTAGTAGTGAAGCACAACTACTGTACAGTCTAAATAAATAAATAAATAATAATTATTATATATTATATATATATATATATATATATATATATATATATATATTATATATATATATATATATATATATATATATATATATATATATATATATGCGCAAACAATCGCAGACGGGCGATATTAACTACGCAGAACAAGCCCCGGGGGAGGGGGGGTGGAAACCTTTAGCTCAAGTACTTTCACACTTCTCAGTGCGTCATCAGGAGCTGTGCAATGTTGCAAGGGAGCAACCAAAGCAGGGAGAGGTCTGAGTAGCGTAGGTATCACCGTCCACGGTTACCCTTAGACTGGGTTAGTGGTTGGTGCCAATCCCACCCTACCATCCCCCTACTCCCCATATGGGGTAGGAGGGTTTCTGAGATGTCATGTATGAAATAAGAAAAAGCCATCCTTAAGCTTTTTCTAATCTTTTATAACAGGTCATGTGGTTTGAGAAAATAAATTTCTCGTTAGATACCATAGACATGGATAGCTATTATTCCGTGAGACCTTTCCAAATAATGAAAGAAAGGAATAGAATGTGCTTTGTCCGTTTAAATGTCCTGCTATGAGGTACTCTAATGTTCTACCGATGTACTCAGAAGAATCTCTTCCTAAATATTGTCTATTTCTGTGTTATATAACGCGTGTGGCTGTTAATGTACCATACAGTGACAAGAACACAAGATTACGAGACAACGTAAGGGGAGGTTAAAGGGTATTTTATATATATATATATATATATATATATATATATATATATATATATATATATATATATATATATATATATATATATATATATATATATATATATATATATATATATATATTATTTAAAACATTTCAGTACATGGAATAATTAATAACAGAAAACAAACCATCAACGGATACATATATATGTAATACATAGATAGGTAGGACAAACTTATCTAACCTTGACAATATTATTAATTTATATATGCATATATATATAATAAATAAGACATAAAATGATACGGTAACTGATATCTATATATAATACTCAGCAACCCATCAAAAATAAAATTAAAATCACCTGCAATAACAACATTATACATATACACTGAACTTCAACCATCAAAGAGGAAACACAGTTTCCAACTAAGCGGACTTGAAGAATAATGAAAATACAAAACTAAAATACCCATCAAACTTCAAATAAGTGAAACTATGTCCACTGTCAAGTGACTAAACAAATCAATACCTCATTAATTAAAACATTAGATAATGAAATTAATTATTGAGCTCGTTAAGACGTGTTACGACCAATAAATAATAGCTGAATTTGTTATTTACACATCATATACATAAGTTCATTAATCAATTCCAAACATACCGTGACCCTAAAACATAATGGATACAATATTATATAGCGAAAGTACATTTTTTTGTTTGAAGACTTAAACGTTACGTTCTGACACAAAAAACTGTACTATGAATCCAAAGGTAATAAACACAATCTAGATAATCCTCTATTTTACCTTTGTTACACCTTCTCGTACCCAAACACAATCTTACTTATTACGCTCACAACAAACCACGCACGCAAAACACGTAAGAGAGACCAGTCCTTTTACGTTTTCACGTCGTACAAGTGCCATAAATCCGCAACACGGAAACTACGATATGTATAAGGAAAACTACGCTCCCAGTGATTCCCAAACAACGGAAAAATACGATATGTACAAGGAAAACTACGCTCCCAGTGATTCCCAAACAACGGAAAACTACGATATGTACAAGGAAAAACTACGCTCCCAGTGATTCCCAAACAACGGAAACTACGATATGTACAAGGAAAACTACGCTCCAGTGATTCCCAAACAACGGAAACTACGATATGTACAAGGAAAACTACGCTCCCAGTGATCCCAAACAACTGATTCCTACACTTCATTTTATACATAACCGCTATAATACCGTGTACCCTTTCATCGTTCCCACTGTCCGGAGTACCCAAGATGTTGAATAAAATCTGATACTAACACCCCCAGTGCCCTTGCGACATCATCCGGGGACCCCCCCCCCCACGTCTAAACTAAGGACACGGAAGGGAGACAACCCCCCCACCCACCCACCCACCTAATAAGTCTACCGAGCCAACAGCACACGGCTTCTAACCGCTCGCAAAAATAAATCGCATGGAAAACAGTTTCTTCAATCCCGTCGTGTACACAAAACGGACCCGGACGGCAAGATGTTATGAAAGAATTTATGTACCGTTTCACGAACTATGGGTCGCAACGGAAGATCCACCAGACGGTTCCAAATATCAGCCCAAGCGTACAACGGAAACTGACTACAGACCGGTGCCACGTCAGCTTCCATAGTCGCCCGAACTAAAATACGCAATTTACACGCCGCGGATCTGAAACCACTTGTAAGCACGCGCAACATATCACGCATATATGGCGATTATGCCCCTTAACACACTCGCACAGGTATTGATACGTCTCACCAACTGGATTACCTGCCACTCGCAGGTATTGCACATATGTATGCTTGACAAAAAGATCAAGCATTGATGCATGAAAATCAAATTATCCCAAACCCCCCTTGCGAACATTTAAACTTAAGCACACTGCGCGTAATAGCAACAACTTCCCAGATAAACGAAAAACACGCACCAATAAAGTGTCTTATCTCATGGACACAAGGATACACGCACTACATGCCACACTTTAGCATATAGGATGGAATTAGTAACTATCACCCGCTGATGGAGAGTTAACCCATGTAACCTCAGCATACCGACACACCGGATAACGCTATCAACCACCATCTTAGAATTGAGCACACGTCCTTCAGTTCTACTAGCCACATGAATTATCCCGCATATTTTCAAAGATTCACGCGTAA